AGTAAAAAATATTTGAGTGAATGTTCTTTTAAGAAAGTTGCTCCTACAGTTTCTCGGATTCCTAATTGTTTGTTTGAAAGCAAACAAACAATTAGGCGGTAAATATACTGTATTTAATCATAACGCATTTCTATTTCATACTTAGCACATAAGTAGACATTTTTATAAGAGAAGAGCAACGATAAAAACCTTATAACAAACTTTCACATTAATTTGTATGCATGTCAATTAAATAAGATGAGCTGATGACTGTTATTGAATTATAACTCGGGAGTTTTTGTTAAGAATAGGTAAGATCTTATACCCACTTGAGACCCTCACATTTGGGTTCTCGATAAATATTTTTATTGTATTTACTGTACTATGAGTAGAATAAGAATCTCTGGCATTCTGATGTTTCTGATGTTAATTCTTTCCATCATCGGTTTTGATGTGGGTTTGAATTTAATTTCTAAGGTTATTTAAAGTAATGGAACATATTTATAAAAAAATATTTATTTAACATTATAATCAGGCAGTCTCTCTCTCTTAGTAGTCTAGTATCGACTTGAAGTCTCAACTAAAACCCACAACCGCAAGTACTTGAGAATGGTCACGACACGAGAGTGCGATATTATAAAACAGATTTATGATTAAAAATAATATAATTATTCTTAAAACAATATGCTTAAAAAATCCACTTGGTCCATGGCACCCTGAGATGGGAATCCAACCCACGACCTTTCGCAATCCGGGCGACTGCTCTAACCATTGAGCTACCCAGGACCTAACAGGACTGACGAATCTTTCAAGCACTTGTTACTTTTCGCTACTACAGAGCGTATTCTCATCAATGTTCAGGCATCCACCCAAATAGCCGAAAGAAATATTGTTACAAATATTGAAACTTTCGATAAAGATGAGAATTTTGTTCTAATTATTATATTTTGATTAATTTTGCATTCACAATGCCATACTGAAAATTATACTTAATACAAAATGCTTAAAAAATCCACTCGGTCCCTGACACCCTGAGATGGGAATCGAACCCACGACTTTTCGCAATCCGAGCGACTGCTCTTCAGTCTAATATAATCTTAAAATTGTATATTTTTTAATCGTTTCTTTATGTGTAATGCCATCAAAGTGACATTTGCGGCGTTGTGTAAATGTAAACATGCCAAACATTAAATATTAATTATAGAGGAAGTAGAGCTCAGCTAAAAAATTACTGACCACATTTGTTGTAATCAAAAAGTTTCTAAAGTTCATTCTGATTCGCATGACTGTCAATTTTTCCAAGTGCCAGTATCTAGAGAAAAGTAACTAAATTTAGAATTACTTATACCTAAAGTGGAACATTAAATTTATTTTACATAAATTTTTATACATATATATATTGAAATAAGATTGACAAATCTGGAAATCAATCGAGAATTTCCAAGACTCCTAGACTATATAACGGATCATATCGCGGTTAGTGAGCGTATTTTTATCAAATATTTTTGACGATCTACTTAAACAGCCGATCAAGTTTAATATTATTATATTAATTGATAAAAAATCCGGTTAGCGAGAGTTTCACATTCCTGACAATATCTAGTTAAGTTTTTTTTGTAAACACTACGAAGACGAACTGCATTAAATACAAGTACACAAATATTTTTTTAATACGTTGTTAAAAATTTTCAGGAATATAATGAGCAAAATGTATTATAATTATTTTATTGAATATTCTAATAATTTAGTAATAATTTCAATATTTTGACAACCTCTAAAACACACTTTATCGAGCACAAACGATTTATCTGTATAAGGTTATAATTTACACATCCAAGCTCTAAATTCTCATGATTTGTTGCGCCCTCTTCAATAATCATTATAAATAATTAAATAATCATCCTTATACTTCAGAAATGTTACACAAAATTATACATGGAAAAAGTAATCCGTGTATTCGCGAAACACGCATGCAAAATCCGTCTGGTAGTTTTTAAGTTTATCATATAAATACGCGGCGCGATCTTTGAAATAATATGCAGGATTAAAAAGTTTAGTTGACAAGGAGGTTTATAACATTAGAATATTTTATTACTTACTATAAATAAATATTGTAAGTGTATAAATATGGTCAGATCTATATTTCATTATGTCGATTTGATGCATCATGTTTTCTAAACCTTAGAATCAGTTTCCGATCCGACGCATATTTAGAACGATTTTAACATGCACAAAAACAAAAACAATAATCTGCAACCGGTGATATGTATTAAATAATTAAACATTATTCCGTAATCTTAAATAAATGATATCACGCGATTTTACATCCTCTTACTGCGCTATTCTAAATAAAGTATGCCTAAATTATTTGTATTCTATTTTCTGTACACTTGTGACTGAAACTAACATAATAACTGTGATTAAATAAAAACAATAAAATTGTATCTTTCAATATACATTATTGCTCTCGATTTGTCATAAATAAGACAAGAAAACATCCACTAAAATAAGGTTCGACCCTGCAACAGAGAGTTCGGTCACAATAAATTACCATTTAACTAGCTAATCACAACAAACATCAAAAATAACATTTATAAACACAGAAAAGATGTCATTAGAAAAAATCATATCGTGTAAAAAAAAGAAAAATTGAAGCATAGACCTATTTTAGTAAACGAAACAATTCATGTCTAACTTACTTGTTTAGAAGAGAAGCGGTAAAGATGACAGATCGAAGCGACTAGACGCGCGTGGTTTGTGTAGTAGACTGCGCCTAAACTGCTCACATAGATAAACAAGTTATCTCAAGGCTTCTAATGGTCAAATTTTGGCAGTCGGAATAGAGTTATGTTATTGTTGCAACGGAGCCCGTTCAGAAGCGTCGAGCGAGCGTATGCGGTGTGGTGTTACAACGTGATCGCCACTCTCTTTTTGACAAATGCTTCAATTTTATTATTATATTTTTCTCTCGGTCTTCATTAAAAAAACTTATGTTTTATATATACTACTAGAGGTGAAGTTTTTAACTATTTTGGTTGTATGCAAAAGCTAATCTTCGGAAAAGTGTTTCACCTACTGAAAGCTACATATATCATGCGCGGATGACATAGGCTATAATTTACGCTAGCAAAGTATTGCAGATTTTTTTATTTTTTTATATTTTTGTGAAATTTTGCATTTTCGGAAATTGTATGTTTTCAAAGTAAAAATTCACTTTAACTTGGCATTGCGTGGGCGTAACGGAGTGTGGTTTTTATTATAAGGACAAGATTAATATATATATATATATATTAGGTGGACCACCGGCGCGAGACCGGGAAGAGCACCTAGTTTTGAAATATGAAAAGGAATTGAATGATATTAATCTTTTAATGATAAAAAGCTTCACCTAGTATGTATAAACTTGTAAAATTTTCTATTAAATAGAGCAAGATAGACATATTTGTATTAACTATGCCATAACTGAGTATAATAGGAAATAAAGAATAAAATGCACGTTGGGCGCCAGTTTTAGCGGGTTCGATGCGTAGGCAAATGAATAAAAGGCTGACTAAGCTTGAGAACTTGATTTAATAAAAGGTAAACCAAAAAAAACCTTTCCTTCGGGTTTAGTGAGTAATTCAACTTTATTATATATCATTTGATATATTGTACATTTTCCTTGAGTTCAATCTCGTGAGCGTAACGAAAACAGGTAATAATAAATAGATTTTAACACTTTTTTACAACAAATTAATATCGATTGAAATTAAGTATGTATAATGTTTCTAACTAAACAGCATATAAGATTATTCAAATTAAGAAAAATGAATAATAAAAATAAATGATATTAAAGATCAAAGACAAAAAGTTTGCATGAGGAAACAAAGGACGAAATAAACGATGGTATATACGACGCACCGTTACCTACATGTTTATCATGGCAACGTCACCACACATATAGCCTTTGCTACAATGTTATGTTTATGGCTTATCTTAAAGTAGAGTCCAACTAGAACTCCTCTTCGAATTCAAAGACGAACGCCTTGAGCTCAGCTAAGAGTTTTTATTAAATATTACCTTTTCAACGAGGTTTTATTTGTTCGAACCTCTACTCCAATGCTGATTTTTTTTACAGAATAGTGAAAAATTATTAGTAATTATTTTTCACTATTCTGATATCTCATATATATAGTAGGTCAAACTTTTTAAATTTAATCTCCAAAGAAACCATCTTGTTCATAATTCATTTATTTACGTTATACAGAAGTGGTGAGTGAGCCTGTATATTAAATTGCAAATCAATCTAACTTTATAGTTTCAGAGAATATCGTGACACCGTGACAGACGGATGGGCAGATACTCGTATGAATATGCAATGAAAAGATTTTCTAGTAATTAATCAGTAACCCCAACCATCTTTGTGATGTGAACAAGTATGGCGAAATTTCGTTTAATTTTACTGCTTTAAAATGTAGGTAGGCAAGTTAATAAGGACGAACGTATGATAAAGAATTATGTTTATATGGATTTGATAGCAGACTGTTACCAACTTAGTCGTTTTTCCATCAAGTCGAAGACCTAAATGAATTCAAATATCGTCATGACCTAGCTAGATGTATCCTGAGTTAAACTCGAGAAACGCTTTGTACACACCGTGCCACATGAATAGGACCAGTGCATTTCCCTTTGCTCTTTAAAATATAAATCAAAATAAATATCTAGAAATAAAAAGTATTTAAATCTTAAGACATGCCACGTTTAACTATGTTTATAGTATTGAACATCAAAAACACTCAACGAGGCGCTCGCAACAATTCCTATAGTCAATGTGTCGCGCCACTTGAATATGACCATTAAATAAAACATAATATATATTACTATTAAATTTTATTATTAACAATCAATGCCTTTCCCATTCTTTTGAATAAAATATAAAATACGGGATGGTATTGAGTCGTATAGTTTTCTTATAAATGTAATTGGTAATTTGCTCCAACACTTAATTATACCTTCCTTGAGCTCGTGCTTGGTGTCATACTGTTTACTGTTCTTATAAACTTCACGTGACAGCCATCCTCACACATTTTCAATTATGTTCAGGTCGGGGGAGAGTGATGGCCAATCGAGAATATTTATATTATTTTGTAGAAACCAGTCGCGAACATTACGTGCTCTATGAATACTAGCATTATCTTGTTGAAAAATAAAATCTTCATTCCCTATTGCACTGCTAAGCTTACATTTCTCATTCTGCAGAAGTTTAATGTAACTTTTAGAGCTTTGTCTACCTTCTATTACCACTAAACTAATCGGTCCGTTATATGATATTGCACTCCAGATCATTAGTGACCTTGCATCGTTTCGCTTACCAGTAAATACACCTTAAGAATTTGATTTCGGAAATATTGATTCATGGCCACGATGGTTGACAAGGTTTGAGAAATATATGCTATTAATAGGAGCAAAATCTGACCATAAAAAAAACCTACTAATTTATTGCATGGGGGAAGAAAGCTTGGAAATTCTCAACCAAATTGGAAAACTGAAAAGTATGATGAATTAACTAAAAAAATTAACGAATATTTCAATCCAAGAAGGAATTTCATATTTCATAGAGCAAAATTTAATAGGAGATCGTAATTACAAGGTGAATCTGTGGATGAATTCATTAAACATATATACCAACTATCTGAAAATTTTAATTTTGAAAATATCTCAAAAAAATAAATATTGCGTGATAAGCTTGTAGCGGGAATATTAGATAAAAACCTATCAATTGCGAATGAAAAGCAATTTTACATAAGGGGAAACTATTCAAATTGTTAGAGAGTGGGAAATTCAGAAGACCCAAACTAAAGAATTGTTGGAAGAGAAAGAGATAAATGTGATTAAAAAAAATTCAAAGGATTATAAAAATAAAATGACATCGAGACCTAACAACTGTCCATATTGCGGTTATGATCTTCAGCGTTCTATGTTTCCAGCACGCAACACTTTGTTTTAGTTGTGAAAATAAAGGGCATTATGCAAGGACGTGCAAAAGAATAAAAAATGTTAAATCATTAGAAGAAACAACTACAGGTATTAAAGACAATTAATTTTTATGGTCAATCATTGGAAGTAATATTGATAGTGCATGGTTTTGTAACATACATATAAAAGCATTTAATAAAGAGAGTAGTTTTTTAATAGATTCAGGGGGCCGACATTGTATGTGTTGACTGTCACTGTCAATTAGTTCTAGATAATAAGAGCCAATTATTAACAACATTCATCTACCCTTTTGGTATAAATATAAAAGATTACCTTTTGGCTTAAACGTTCCACATAATATTTTGTTTCTAAATTAGCAAAAATCTTTAAAAATCTAGATGTAATTTTGCATGTTGATGATATTCTTATTTTTCATAATACTATTGAGGGTCATGATAAATGTTTGAGGGAATTCTAAGACGTCCAGAAGAAGGGCTAATAATAAATCAAGATAAATGTATAATTGATGTCCAAGAAATTAAGTTTTTAGGTTTCGATAATAGCAATAAAAGAATATCCTACTCCTGAAAACAAAACTGAGCTTTAAAGATTTTTAGGAATGGTAAATTTTGCTTCGAGACATCTAAATAAAAAAGCAGAATGTTTAGAACCTATATACATATATAGTTTACTTAGAAAAGAAGTTGAATTTCTATGGGGTCCTGTTCAAGAGAAAGCTATGGGAAGATTGTAAAAATATTGCCGTATAGATCTTACACGATAGAAACCGATGGAGGACAATATAGAAGAAATAAATGGCATTTGATTCTGGCTTCATTTGTTAAGAATGATAATGTAAATCTCAGAAGATCTGATAGTTTTAATAGTCTTTGTAGGACTTCACCGTCAAATTATTTTCAAAATAATTTAATTAATCCTATTGATCATAATCTGATGAATAAAAATTTGGATAGATTAGATAATAGAGCTAAAGAAACTATAGGATCGTTTGTGAATGACTCGAATGTGAACTGCTGTCCTGCTATACAGAGAGGGAAACCTGGGTGGTTAAAAGATTTTGTTGATTAAGGAATGAGGCACTGTTAATCTAATTGTTAATAATCTATTCCTATAAATTGAGAAGTACATCATTGTGTTTGATGTGTTGACTAAGAATTGTTTATGGTGAATTGTATAATACTGTTATAAATTCTTTATGAATAAAATAAATAACATAGCAATATGTGCAAGAGGATGTAGTGTTGGCAGCACTGGTTCTTGCTCTCTCTCTGCTCAAGAGGGCTGCGATGATTATTGGGCTCCTGAGATAGTAAGTTCTTTTATTTGTTTAAGTTACCAACTATAAACCCCTATTACAAAATATGGCAAATAATACACTGCTCTCTGCTATTATTGAATTATTTGGTTATTGCTTACTTATTGTTTTACGCGTTAGTTTGGTAAGTTTATCAATTTACGAAAATGTGGACGTAAAATAACACGATTTATCTCTCGTTTAGAATCCTATGAAAGTTTATAAATTTATTAATTTGCGGTTCTTGTTATTTTCCGCTGAGATGAATGGGCGCACCTGATATTTGGGTATGGATAAAACGTTATCGAGTTTCTCATGCTACGCGAGCAGTTGTCGAAGTTAACACTATTTCGTTAGTCATAACTTTGAATGAAGTCAGTCGCCGAGGCGCCTCGTCACGCCTCTGGATTTAAATTAGAATACAAACGGTTGTTTTCAAGGTCGTTGTTCTACAAGTTGCTATATATTTGTAAAGATGGTTTACTTTATACAGATAGAATCACAGTATTAAGAAATACATAAATAAAGTCCAGTAGTGGTGGTGTCATATTTACTAATAATAATAATATCGTATTTTGAACCACTGGACTAAGCTTTCTGTGGGAGCAGCATCCATCCTTGTTATAGATTAACATATTATAGGTACCTATTTTTTAAATCAATTAACCTTATATAGATTTTGTTTTATGTAAGATTCTTTTACCGTAATGTACCTATGCGTTGGCCAAGTGCTCATAAATCTATGACAAGGATGGATAGCTGCTTTCACAGGAAGAGAGGTTCTGATTGAAACGACTTAGAGGGGAGGGAGAGAGGGTGTTTGAAAAGTTCTCGGCCTGACCAAGAACAAATAGTGAGATATTGCAAAGAAATATCTCACACTTGAGACCTATTTCTTTAGTTTCTCGGCTTCGTTATGCTGTGCGTGTTGGACGGGGCTAATATACTTACGCATTAAATTCATGAAATTGATCTACGTATAGTGGCCGGTCTACGAGAAATTATACGGCGTTTCGTGAACAAAAGATATCCTTTGGCAGGTTTGATCTGTAGGTCCAAAGGATTGATTTAAGAAGTGGAGCCACCTGGATTTCCCTTGCAGGTGAGGGGGGGGGGGGGGAAGGTTGCACCCGCCGCGCTTCGAATAAAAAATTATAAGTGCTCCAGTTATGCATACAGTGGCGTGTTTGGTATCGTTTTCGCATAAGAAGAGTACGGGGGATCCGTTTTTAAGGTTAGTTAGAGATACTTTTGTACAAAAAGTCAATAATTTTCGAAAAAAAGTAAATTTTAAAGTTAGTTTTTTTTTTCTTTTAAATATATTTACCTTAATAAATAGATCGATTTTGTGATAAAAAAATAGTATTATCAAGCTCATACTATCTAGTTTTTAGAAATATATACATTACGTATACTTCTCTAACAGTATGTACCCCAAAAAAAATACCGCGCGAATCTAGAAAACTTAAGTTGTAAATCATTTTACTGTTTATCTTTTTTTAACTGCTCCAGTTATGAATACAATGGTATGTTTGGTATCGTTTTCGCTTAAGAAGAGTACAAGAAATCTATTTTTAAGGTTATTTTTAAACATTTTTATACAAAATGTTTATAGTTTTGATAAAAAAGTAAATTTAAAAGTTATGTTTTACACATTTTTGGTTATTTTTCGCAAATTAACTATTATCTTCTACGTTGGAATGTATAGTTTGTTAAAGACGGAGTAAATAAAATAATGATAAAAAATAAGCAAATATATTTTATATTTATAAAATAAAAAATTGTTAAAATCAAACACTTTCTCAAGTCTTCGAATTCCTCCGGAGGGCCTCGCGGACTACAAAACTGAAACAAAAAAGATAATATTATATGTAATAATGTATAATCTCTGTTTAGTTTTAATAAACTATAAATATAATAAACTCTAATGTTATCTAACAATTTAAATATACCTACCTACCTGGAATTAGCGGAGTATCTGTTACACTCTTATTCTTCGATGAGCGCCTCGAGGTCTATTGCACTGTAACAAAATAGAAATAATATTATACAATGTAAATAACAATACGAAATTCAGCAGGCAAAGTTATTTGACAACATAAATATACCTGGTATTATCGCAGTTTCCGTAGCAGCTCTTACACAGCAGTGTGCATGGCATACCCTCTCGTCTGCAAGAACATCGGCCTCTGCAGCTGTTCTTGCATCCACACTTCACCAGCTCTCGTGCCGCCTCCCAGATACTGGGCTGAGTTGTCCATAATGGCTGCCATTCTCCTTCGGTTTGAGTCCATCCCCAGTCAGCTGGGGAGGGGATAACCCCTGAGGGATCAAGAGCTTGTCCCCAGATGAAGCCTGCTTGATAGGCTGCCCTCAAAGTGTGCATCCTTAGAGCATCCCTCGTAGGGGGGATATTTTGCAATGACTTGTTTTTGGAGAATAAAATCTTGCGGGCTTCGTTAACTGAACGAATTTCAGTCACTTCTTCCAATGGATTTGAAAGTGCTCTAAAAGCTGATGTGGCCTCGAGATGTTGCTGCCACGAGGTCATTGCAAAATATCCCCCCTACGAGGGATGCTCTAAGGATGCACACTTTGAGGGCAGCCTATCAAGCAGGCTTCATCTGGGGACAAGCTCTTGATCCCTCAGGGGTTATCCCCTCCCCAGCTGACTGGGGATGGACTCAAACCGAAGGAGAATGGCAGCCATTATGGACAACTCAGCCCAGTATCTGGGAGGCGGCACGAGAGCTGGTGAAGTGTGGATGCAAGAACAGCTGCAGAGGCCGATGTTCTTGCAGACGAGAGGGTATGCCATGCACACTGCTGTGTAAGAGCTGCTACGGAAACTGCGATAATACCAGGTATATTTATGTTGTCAAATAACTTTGCCTGCTGAATTTCGTATTGTTATTTACATTGTATAATATTATTTCTATTTTGTTACAGTGCAATAGACCTCGAGGCGCTCATCGAAGAATAAGAGTGTAACAGATACTCCGCTAATTCCAGGTAGGTAGGTATATTTAAATTGTTAGATAACATTAGAGTTTATTATATTTATAGTTTATTAAAACTAAACAGAGATTATACATTATTACATATAATATTATCTTTTTTGTTTCAGTTTTGTAGTCCGCGAGGCCCTCCGGAGGAATTCGAAGACTTGAGAAAGTGTTTGATTTTAACAATTTTTTATTTTATAAATATAAAATATATTTGCTTATTTTTTATCATTATTTTATTTACTCCGTCTTTAACAAACTATACATTCCAACGTAGAAGATAATAGTTAATTTGCGAAAAATAACCAAAAATGTGTAAAACATAACTTTTAAATTTACTTTTTTATCAAAACTATAAACATTTTGTATAAAAATGTTTAAAAATAACCTTAAAAATAGATTTCTTGTACTCTTCTTAAGCGAAAACGATACCAAACATACCATTGTATTCATAACTGGAGCAGTTAAAAAAAGATAAACAGTAAAATGATTTACAACTTAAGTTTTCTAGATTCGCGCGGTATTTTTTTTGGGGTACATACTGTTAGAGAAGTATACGTAATGTATATATTTCTAAAAACTAGATAGTATGAGCTTGATAATACTATTTTTTTTATCACAAAATCGATCTATTTATTAAGGTAAATATATTTAAAAGAAAAAAAAACTAACTTTAAAATTTACTTTTTTTCGAAAATTATTGACTTTTTGTACAAAAGTATCTCTAACTAACCTTAAAAACGGATTCCCCGTACTCTTCTTATGCGAAAACGATACCAAACACGCCACTGTATGCATAACTGGAGCAGTTATAATTTTTTATTCGAAGCGCGGCGGGTGCAAACTTCCCCCCCCCCCCTCCCCCCCTCACCTGCAAGGGAAATCCAGGTGGCTCCACTTCTTAAATCAATCCTTTGGACCTACAGATCAAACCTGCCAAAGGATATCTTTTGTTCACGAAACGCCGTATTTTGCGTTTTTATGTCGTGTAGGATTGCCACTAGTAGTGCAGGGCGGTGTGAAATGTGATTTCGGCTTAAAAATCTTATATAGACTAACGACCGTAGGCTACAAATCAAGCGTCCGGCTACAACAACATATTTTAGTTGTAATTTTTTTAGTAATGAGAAGTTCCAAAAGCAGTAAACTCTCTAACCTACCAAAATACTTTATCGCCAAGCTTAAAAATTGAAAATGGATTGCAAACAGCGTTACAATATCAATATTTTAATCATCAAAATCCATAATGGTCAAGGACATTAAATTTATTAACAATATTCATTATTTACAAGCACGGCATATCATTAAGGTAGGCGGGTGCGGGTGAACTGACTTTGAGCTTCTATAGATGTAACGTCATGTCTCCGAGTTTGTGATGAGGCCACATGCATTCACAGCCAGCCGGTATCACCATAGTCTTAGTTTCCCAGCAGTCACTGAAATATTAAAAGAAATCTTTAAATTATGCTCTCTTTTTTAAAGTCATTTGCTATATATTTTTTCTAATAATAATTTGCCTCAAAATAAACAGGGAAATAAATTTAATTAGGTAGGTGCTTTATTCCGATTAAGATAAAAAATGTCAGTAACTAAATGGTATATTCGTAATTTTGTGGTAATAAATTTAAACAATATACCTACAGTTTGTACTATGAAAGTTTTTATAAATATGAATTAATTAATAGTATTATTTTTCTGAGACTGGGAACCAGAGAATTGTTCTTAGAAAAATATTCATATATATAAACATTTTCATGTTCAGTTTCATAGTACAAACTATAGGTATATTGTAAATACTACTGGCCGCCAGCGACTTCGTCCTCTTTTTCTATAATTTTTTGCTCCTAATAGTTGCAGCGTGATGTTATATAGCCTAAAGTTTTCCTCGATAAATGGTCTATTCAACACAAAAAGATTTTTTCAATTCTAACCAGTAGTTCCTGAGATTAGCGCGTTCAAACAAACAAATGAACTCTTCAGCTTTATAATATTAGTATAGATTAGATTTTTTTCGTTAATATGCTTTATAAACGGTGATCTACCACAGTTTTCATTATTATTTTATTTTATTAAAAGAAAGGTATCAGTATACCTATATAGAAACTTCTACCTGTTATAACGTCTTCTAGTCAAATGTATAGTTTTATTCCATTGAATGCATGAAAATCCAAGACTTGTGCATATCTGTAACAATGTAATATAAATTAAAAACATTGGGCAAGCGCCTCCCTTTAGATAGCCTAATTTTAGTTTTAGTTGTAGTCGTAACTAGAAGCAATCAAGGCTGAAATCATTGACATTTTGTTGAGAAAGCAGGTTTCAGTAAGATATTTTTCCAGTGAAGAATATGATTATTTATGATAGGTACCCTCAACATTTGACCAAGAGATGATTTTATACAAACAAAAGTGGTTCTAGATAATTATTCAGCTAAGGAAGAGTTGAGACTGATCAACAATGATTGATTAAAGTTGCCAAGTAGATGGAATTTCAATGAAATCGATCTATAAGCAATGATTTATCCAACGGTAATTTTGGTAACCGAGTGATTCGAGTAGTTTGGAAGTGTCGCCATGACTAGGGTTTAATTCTAGGTCAGGAAAATGTCGGAAATGAACTTTTCTTTATAATCCAGGGCATCTTTGTTTTGGTAGATACCCTCGTTGTTTCAGTGCTTAACTAATTCTATGATTTCAATGTTTTATTTACTCATATTGACTAATTACTATTTATTTATGCAACATAGCAATATTATTTGAGTATTACTGACCTCACTGTAAGTACCTAAATCATCAGCAATCATGGAACTGCATCTGATCTCTTCGTAATAGGCAGGTCTGTACTCATAGTCAATTGTGTTCAGCTTACGAATCGTTCTTTGTAAATGGCAGATGGGATAGTGCTTCTGGAAAATAATATCAATTTACATTTTAGTTATTTTAATTGGTTATTTTTTTCAGCACTACAATGAGTTCATGCGGTTTTGAATATATTCATATATTTTTTTAAATACAATATAAATATTGAATAGTGAGTGACCGCATTATAAACTGGCTTTGCCCGCATGGTCTTGTATTATACATATTTTTCCTTATCTGTATATTGATGTAAACCTCATAATCAAATCCTTTGTGTAGTTTAAAAGATCTCAGTGTATAGACAGCAGGAAGTCAACTAGAATGCAAATAGAGACAATTAGAATGCGTCTCAATAAAAGTTACAATTACAGTACTGCATTGACTGATCAGTCTCGATTACAGTCCTGCACCTACTGATCAGTAAGTAACAGTAACAGTAGCTAAATTTCAGTAGGGGTTAGACTGTTGTATGTAACTATATTACCTGAACAGATAGTTGTCTCGATTCCCGTTCCCTCGACTCTTCAAGTGATTCCGTGTATTCTGGTAGAACCTGATAAGGTGTCGTTTAGTTATTAAAGTAATTCAAAACACTACGTCATAAAATATCAAGGTAGCCAGTTTAAATCAGTGGATATTAACAATCGTAGATGCAGTTGTGATCAATACCTTAAAGTTTATGTCATAAGTCTGGATTGCCAAAGATGCTCAATTTTCGCAATTATCGACCGGATGCTATATTGAGCTAGATAATTTTGTTACTACACATTAAAGCAAACCTCTTCTTTTGCTCTCCTGAACAAGATAAATTAAGAAACAAACGATAAGAGATAAACGACGAGTTATGTCGTAAAGCGCGACCCTGTTTTACAACTTCATACGGCAAAAGAACTGCGTCACGAAACTTGTGCATTTGTTTATATTATGTTTTTGATGGGATTCAAATTTACCTCTGTCGGTTCATCACAGTCCTCAGGGTCCGTGATGAGCTTTTCGGTCTCGAAATTTTGTGGACGGTTCCGTTGCAGTCTACTGTGCACTGAGTTTAGTACTTTTTCTGGATTAGGTACCCTAAGCACATGTTCTATAAATTCTCTAGCCTCCTCGCTGGAGCTCAAGGACGATGCTAAACATAACGATATACATAGTGCCTGTGAAAAAAAATAGATAAGATTCAGAGCCTAATTAACATCATTAGTTTATAATAATAATAATAAAATATATATAACATGAATCGTAAATCTGCAAAGCATCCATTTCAAAAACTACATTCGGTAAGACCATTCAACAGGTGTTTGCTTAAAGTATATTGTTTTTTTTTTTATTGTTGCACGGCAAAGTGACTGTAATACACCTGGTGGGAAGTGATATTACAGTCTAATAATAGTCGTAGCTGTCAGAAGTCGAAACTACTCCTGGTAGCCACCACTATCTTGCCGGCCTATTTAAGAGCCTTTTCACACCTCTTTTAAAGCACCCAAGGTTATATTTAATGGGAAAAATGTAGGATGGGAGGCTGTTCCACATTTTAATGGTACGGCAAATATATGATTTGCCGAATTTTTTTGTACGAGATAGTATAGTACAAACAGTCCTGGAATGGCAGCGAGCACCGGCACGTGTCAACCTGTTACGGAAGGAGGAAAGGGGAATGATGTTGAATAATTCCTCAGAGCACTCTCCATGATAGAACCGGTAGAACACACTGAGTGAGGCAATATCACGCCTCATTTGCAGTGGCTCAAGATTGTTGGTTAGCTCCTCATCGTTTATGATGCGTACTGCCCGGCGCTGCAGCCTGTCTAGGGCATCCAACAGATATTTTTCGGAGTCATCCCAAAGATGCGAACAGTACTCCATGCTAGACCTGACCTGGGTCTTATATAACAAGCACCGTTGCTCGGGTGTAAAAAACCGGCGCACTCTGTTTAAAATTCCGAGCCTGCGAGAAGCAGCAACTATAACGCTTTCGATGTGGTCTTTTGGGTTGAGGTCGCTGCGAATATCCATGCCCAGAATATTGAGGCTATCTTTTGTTGTGAGGCTAGTGCCCCGGAGAGTGGGAAGAGGGGAGAAAGGGGAGGTCTTAGACGACAGAGCGCATACCTGTGTTTTCTTGGCGCTGAATTCAACCAAATTATCTGAACCCCATTTGGAAATACAGTCCAGACTCCGATTGAGCTCCACGACAAGATTTTCACGATTTCTCATCGTTGGTCCCACGCCACTCGACGGTTTGCCGGTGTAGGTGCCATGCACAGTGCTATCGTCTGCGTAGCAATGAATGAGGCCTAAAGGCAACATGTCATTAATATGCAGAAGGAACAATGTGGATGAAAGTACTGAACCCTGTGGAACCCCAGCATTCACTATTTTAAATTGCGAAGCCCTACTATCCACCAGGACACGTATTCTTCGCTCAGCCAGGAAGCCGGTGATCCAAGTACAGAGCCGGCTAGGGAGTCCGTAAGAAGGAAGTTCAGCGAGGAGGCCTCTATGCCAGACTCTATCAAAGGCTTTAGCAATATCCAGACTGACAGCCAATGTTTCACCATGGGCGTCCATCGCCTCACCCCAGCGGTGTAACAAGTATGCAAGAAGATCACCCGTCGACCGGTTTGGCCTAAACCCGTACTGCCGATCGTGAATTATAGAGTGATCTTCCAAGTAGCGAACTATCTTATTATTAATAAGCCGCTCCATAACTTTGCTAAGTACAGAGGTTATAGAGATAGGACGGTAGTTCGCGGGATCTGACCGATCACCTCTTTTGGGAACCGGTTGCACATTAGCTTCCCTCCATGGTTGTGGGACACAGCCTGATGAATAAGAAGCACGGTAGAGGCGCGCCAAAATAGGTGTCAACTCAGCCGCACACTGTTTCAGTACAATCGCTGGAACACCATCAGGACCACTGGCTTTCCGGGCATCGAGTCCCAGCAACAACCTACGTACATCGCGCTGTCTGATTTTTATATCCGGCATCATGACGCCGCACGGGGTTAAGGTAGGTGGCTCTGCATTGCCATCATCAAGCCAAGAATTAGACGCAAAGATATTGGCCAGTAAATCTGCCTTATCCTGCGCATCATGGGCCAGTGATTCATCAGGGCATCGCAGCGGTGGCAGTGATGAGCGACAGAAGTTCGACTGCACAGCTTTTGTCAGGCCCCAAAAGGCTCTACTCCCACGGGGATGGGCTGCCAGTTCTTGACCCAGGCGTAATATTCGTTGGGCATGAGCTCCCACGAAGGCTTTCTTACACCTTTTTGAAGCTTTATTGTAGACTGCCTTAAGAGATCCAAGATTGGGATCCCTCCTCGCGCAACCCCTGATCCAGGCACGGTAAGACGCCTGGCTATTGGCGACAGCTTCATTGCACTCCCGGTTGAACCAGGGGCGACCCCCGCGGCTGACGACGACATCCGATGTTGGAATATAATACTCCATACCCAATAAGATCTCATCCGCAACCGCAGAAGCACTTGCCGGGCGATCCCCTTCGCCAAAGCATCGCTGACGCCAAGGAAAGGATGAAAAATACTCCCTCAGGCCATCCCAATCTGCTGACCCGTAATACCAAACACGTCGCCTAATAGCCGGAGGAACTGGTTTAGTCTCGCCTGGTATCACAGCAGGTCAGAAGAACCCAAGCGCGCACCTACCGAGACAACATAGCCAGCGGGGTGGCTTGTAAGGAAAAGGTCCAGCATAGAAGGATCCTGACCCGCAATATCCGGTATTCTGGTTGGCTCAGTGACAAGCTGTGTAAGATTATTCGCGAGAGCAAAGGCGTGAGCGCTTCTTCCAACATGATCAGTTTTAGAGGATCCTAACCATATTGCGTGATGCGCATTTAGGTCTCCCAGAACGACCATTTCTGCTGTCGGAAATTGCTCTTGTGAGTCATCCATCGCTACACTTAGGTATTCAAAAAGCCGAGTTGTTTCAATATCCCCATTGTGTGAGCGGTACACGCAGACGTAAGTACGACTCTGAGAGCCAGAGTGCACGTGTACCCAGATGGTGGAAAAAGAAGGGTCCTCCATGCAGCGCAAACGGCGATAACTTACATCCGATCGAACGTACAAGCACACCCCAGCCTTTTGCTGAAAATTTTCTTCTAACAAGTAACCAGGGTAGTGTAGATAGGATGTATCGGCGGGGCACCTGATCTGCGTCTCGGTCAAGAAGAGCAACGCAGGCTGAACTGTCTCCAGACGATAGTGGACAGCATTGAGATTTGAATGGAGTCCACGAACGTTAGCAAACTCAATTTTGAAATCGGTGCTGGGGTTGTGCACCGCTGTATTATCTGCTCTATTTCTCGACATTATCATTATTGGTGTAAGAAGAGGATGTGTAACAAGAACCTGTCGTCCCGGCTGAGAGGAAAATGCGGAATGGTTTACCGAGTTGTAAATCTAGATCAACCAGCTCAATTGAGCCCCCGGACGGAAGGGCCCCCGTACCCTCCCGGAACTGGTCGCCGGGACCCAGTCCGGTCACCAATCGGCACGACGATCCAGTCCGAGATTATGAGCAGCATGATAGGGCAGCCTCATGTAGTGGTTAGCTACATTTGGGCCCCTGTACTATACCGCGGGCGGCCAGCGGAATAACCGTTTCTACGGGTCTCCCTGGCCGGGAACTCAAGAGAGCTGAAGCTGTCCAGTAACCCAATAAAAACTCCCTGCTCCACTGGGAACCGGGGCAAAAGGCTCTTGGGCAATCTGGATGTATAACAGCTGATCCCGAAACGCGATGAACCACTATGACGGGTTTTTCGCTGAACATATGGTGGTCGCTATCCAGTCGGGTTTCCCCTACCACCAAGCTAAAACAGATGGTCGTTAACAGAGATTATCCCAAGGTCGCCTCTTACGACCCCCTAGGAAGATAAGGGATGGCGACATTTGTATTCTTATGCAGCCGTCGCTCGCCATACGGCCAAAATATATATATATAAATATATATAAAACAAGTTGGTATATATATATATAAAACAAGTAGGAACACATAGCTCTAAATTTAATTTTATATTCATTTCCAGAAAATGGAAAACTTCATAAACGGTATAATCGTAAATAAGTCTTGATTTAAAAATTTAAATATACAAAAACCAGATAAAAAAACTAGACATAGAGGTACCACATTTTTTGAAATGTGTTTTTTCAAGTTTAATTTACTAAATTTCAAATGGTTCATAAAATTGAAAATTCATTAATAGTTTCTTCATTTTGCAACATAAAACAAAACCTCACGGCATCATTTACTAACTCGGAATAGTGTACAGACTGACAGACACGCAAGTTATTTCAATGGTTGCTTTTTTATAGAGGTACGCATTCCATATTAGAACGTTTAGACGTCATATAGATTCACTTTAAAAAATGCGTAGTTGTCAACAATCTTATAAAAACGAAGATGTTTCTATTAATGGCATGTTTCAAATGGTCCTTACTAAAGTAATTCTCGAATAATTTATTTTAATATTTTTATATACAACCAAAATATTTCTTGAGCAATTTAACACACTTTCCTTTCATTAGGATTGACATTTAATCTTATAAAGTATACATTGAAAATAATTAATAACTAAAATGTTCTGTGTGCCCACGCATTAGTCAGGATAACATTATTTATACTACACCGAATCAAAGTAAGTCTTTGTTTTTTTTTTTAAATAAAAATATTTTGCTTTTTGAACTAATCTTTTGACGCGTTTGATACAAAAGATTCAAAACCCAATTGATGTTAATGAGCCGTGATTGGCAATCCCTGTTGACCGCGACGCAGTCGTACTTGTAGTATGAGTCGGCGCATACACAGCTGTCGCGACACTACTTCTATGACACTAGAGTGGATATGTCAGGTGATCAGGCGTTTGTACCAGCTGGTTTCCTACCGCAAAGGATAATATTCTTCGCTAATCCCTTAATAAGTAAGTATATACAACCTAATAATGTATTTTTTTAAAATAAAATTACACTTTAAAATTGGACCTTTGAGGGCGGATGCTATATTTTGCTTTGTGTTTTTTTTTTTACTTTTTATCAATAGTATTTTTATATGCTAAGAAAATAAATCACTGCACAAATTATTTTGGCCAAATATTTTTTGCTGTGGTATTTTTCCATAAGTATGTATTGCAAGTTCGCACTCGGGCGTATGTCTAAATAATTGGCAATTGACCTCACGAGTATTGAGGTCCCCCGCTTTTTAGATGAATGTTTTAAGCAGACAAAGAACGTACCATTTAACAACTGTTATTTATCAAATTATTAGTATGTAAAAATATAATATACAATAATAAAGTAATATTATTTAACATAATATTAAAAGAACATTTTTTAATGTGTCGTGAGAAGATGAGTGCATTTCAATGTAGTTTTTACTGTTGCGAAATTTAAATGCTAAGTCCCATTATTTGGTAAAATTTCTAACTTTTTTTGTTTGTAGGGAGTAAGCTACATTATAAGTGAGCTTCGTAGGCAATAATGTACGCGGTTGAAGTTGCGGGAAAATAGATAGATTGTTATAAAGTATAATATATAATCCACTAAAATATACTGTTACTTGTAATTTAACTAGTGGAAACGAACGAATTTATGAGGCGAAAGTACTCTTTTTATTTTGAGAACGAAATGAAACGTTTGTTGTGGTTTGTTTTATACTTATATTAATTTTATACCTCTTTGAAAATTATTTTGCGTTATTTTACTTATTTTGATTTTTATGTAAAGACAAAAAAGTAAATTAGACGAATTCAAAGGACCCTTCAATGATGAGGATAGACACAGTATCTGGTAAAAAAATATTTTTAATAAATTACTCGAAAACCATTACGATTATTGGAAAACAATTCGTCGAAAAGCCGTCGGCTATAAAGTGATTAGCATAGGATTTCTAAAAGAAATGAAAAATTCTGAATTCCTGGGATAGGTACCTAACTTTATGATTTTGCCTATACAACGTGTCCCAAAATTCAACGATAAGCGGGCGCCAAGAGGTACTCTTGCTCATGTGTACTTATGGAAAAATAAGAAAAAAATTATATCTTATCTTTTTTATTATAAAATTAAATTCGAAAATCTTCGAAAATTTACACCTTTTATGATATTTTCAACTACCACCACCACAACTTCTCAATTATGTTCAATCTTTTTTTGGTATCGGATACCTAAGTAGCACTACTATTCGCTACAACTCTTTCGAAAATTTTCGAATTTACTTTTTTCTTATTTTTCCATAAGTACACATGAGCAGGTCTACCTCTTGGCGCCCACTTATCGTTGAATTTTGGGACACGTTGTATATAGATGTCTCTATAAATTTCTATATTTCAAGTTATACTCAAACAAAACATGAAGTTTATTCAATTTCAATTTATTTGGATATAATTTATTCATATAAACTCATTGAAAGTTAATGTATATTGGTTTTCGCGACATAATTTACAGTATTCACATGGTATGTTATTCTGAGATGTGAACTTATTACTATTAATATTCTTTTAGATTTAAAAACAAAGCTAATGAACTAATGGTCAGTTGCGCAAACATCCATTAAGATTTAATGACTTTATTAAGCTCTAACGAATGTCAAATTTGTTTGGGCAATGTCGCTTTATACTAATGAAAATTTTAATGGACATTTTTGCAACTAGTTGTAAAACTCACATTTTTAATGAATCACTTTGAGAGTATATATACAAATTTATATATAAAACATAACAAATAAAAAAACTAAACAATCAATCAATTACATTGAAGTGTATTTAAAAATATTATTTTAACTGAAAAACGTAAATCAGTCCAGAGGTTCTTGATATTAATTTGCATGTAGGCATATACGTTAAATTAAAAGCAATAAGAATGAACGAATCATTTGGTACCGATATATCCGTTACTTCGGTCACGGCAAGACCCCGCATCCTGTAAATAACCGTCACGCAAACTATATTTAGCTTCCATTTAACTAAAACGTCCACGTTAGGGACACCTATGTATTTGTTAGCCGAGGTCAATATAACAATACACACAAATTGGCTGAATAAAATCTCAAAATATTCCAGTAGAGACTTTTATTATTTTGTTTACCGTTACTTTAGATATATAAGTAAACTAAAGTCATAATTTATGTATTGGCTATGTGCACCGGCTTCAGTGACACCTAGCGTACGCAACTTTGAAAGCTTTGACGCTTTGAAATGCAACGTGTTATTATAGACAAATATTAGAATCACCAACGATCTATTAATTTATATTACAAAATTACTATGATACTGTGATTTGGGCAACCGTCCAAACCTTCTAACCAGAAGGGGTTGTAAAATCTTTTTTAATCATTCGAATTAAACGAAGCAATTAAAATTTATGTGTTTTATTTTTGTTGTCATAACTTGTTTAGGTCATTTATAGTTACAAATTTACGGTAAAACGAGAAATTAGATCATTTTTAAAGGTTTTATTAAATTATAATAAACATACAATAATTCCTATATCGTAATAATAAATGAATTTTTTTTTTATAGAAATGAGTATTATTCTGAGTACCAGGTTTGTGTGTATCAACACAATATAAAATAAAATCTTTGATACCTTACAATTTTTATGTTTTTTTGAAGTAGGTAATTTATCTCAATTGGAACTCGTAATCAGTTTGACTGAGGTTTTATTTTAATATTAATTCGATTTAAGCTGAATACAGCGAGAAAGTAAGCGATAATAGCAAACATAAACATTATTTTTAGTCATTGTATATGGGAAATATTGTACAAATAATGGTTATAATTATAAAAGTAATTAATCAGTATGTTATTTTGATAAAAAAATATTATCATTGAGAAAAAATAACTAGTTTATTAATTGTCGGCCTAGTTTATTAATTGTTTTATCAATTTCTATACAAATTATGATTTAACTTTAGTGTTTGCATACCTGCAGGCTTGGATCGTTAGCCAGTTTCTGGGTACTAGGTGCTAAGGGTAGACAAAAATAGCACTAACTTTTGTTATAGTCTCAGTGCTGTTTTTTAAGTATGTTTTATACGTAAAATATTATTAACAATTAATACTGCAAGAAAGAAATAATAATTAATTCTACCAGACTCATTTCGGCAATTTTTTACCAGACGCTTTGAAGCTTCTAAAATAATAAAGTAACTTTACTTACAATCTCACTCTTGCTTTTTATATTAATACTTAGGGAAGTAAGTTAATAATTTTTGCAAGCAGCCATACAAATCGAAGAGGTTTAACAACCCCGTAGAGATACTCAAGGTCTCGTTTTGTGTATGCGCGAGCGTCTGGGCCCTGGGACCTTGGAATACAACCTTTAACATGATTACAAAAACAAAATTAACTACAATATTAGTTTTTCTATATCTTCACGCCGTATCCCTAGCGGGGCAAAGAGAGGGGACCGAACGCCACAAAGTACGGCCCGTATTTAGTCCCGTTTTTATTTGTCTCCATTAGTTCTTCAACTTGATTTTTTCACTTTTCCAACTGTTATATCTATTACACCATTAAAATTATATCGTGTCATATTTACAGAATAAAAATAATGGCTTTAAGAAGAAAATATTGTGGCACTTTCAAAATGGAGCCGGTACCGGAAATGGGAATCTGTAACGCTAAATACAAAGCTACCAGGTACGAATATTATAATTAACGTCATATTAAAGTAGGTAATATAAAGTATATTATTGTGATATGTGTAGATATATAGATTACTGACTCATTAAAAACGGGAGTGTATTAAGACTCTAGAGCCAACAGTATGTTTTATTTATCTGTATGGTCTTTTTATTTTTTATATTATTATCATTTTTCTCAATCTACATAAAAAAATCATGTAGAATTTTATTTTGCTTATGTATGTATATATATATTTTTATTTTTAAAACATAATAGGCCCAAGTTGTAATTTAAAATACATATATTTCTTGTTATAAATCTTTTCGAATAAACACCGAATTTACTATACGATTGCCCATTATATAATGGGCACATACCTTAATCTTTTGAATTCCTGGATAAAAACGTTATAGATGTACGTTGATAGTAAGTCGACTGTTATTTTTCTATAGGTATAGTTATTATGTAAGAGAGATAATTATCTAATTAATGCATACATAAAATATTTTCCTAATAGAGTAAATATAAATATAGTTTTAAGACATCACTTTTAAATAAAAGATAAGTGGGATAATAAATATATAACTATTACAACAGATACTAACAAATAGGTTACAATAAGCTGTATTAAAATCAGGTAAGAAATAATTTTACCTTAAAAAGGAGGATTCTGTTGAACATTGTAGTCTCCTTTTTTTCTTTTAATTTTCTATTTTTAAAGCTTTCCACTCGAAATTCCGAGCATTTGTGAATGATTCTCATAATTGTCAACTCTTTTATACCGTAAATAATCTCAATCCACTACAATTATTCGAGTGTTTTCATAACGATATTCAGCTTAATCCTATACCGTTATAATAACGTGGAATGGCTTTTCGGGTTTACACTATGCAGTTGGACGAAGTCATACGCACGAGATATGTTTTGTGATAAAAAGTTCATAATATTATCTGTTTCTATGAGCTTACGCGGAAAACCGATTGAACGGTATCTGATTTGTTTCTAGATAGTATATAACGTAGGACGGGGAATAAAATGGAGGTAAAGCTGAAATTTTATTATGTGAATTTATGCAGTTAAGATAATAACAAATTGGATATTTTTAGAATTGTCTAAATTTAATAAAACCATATTACTTATTATCCTAATTAAACTAAATAGTGGCCATATAAATTGAGTTCAAATAAAATACCTACTTGTTAAAAAATAGTAAAACACGTCATTTTTACGGGACAGCATGGGGCTAAAAGATAACTATATTTTAGACAAAAAGAATTGAAGTTCTTAGATTGGTATTATATTTTTTTTGAATAGGTCATCCTAAAAAAATGCATCTTTGAATCCTACTAGTGATTTTAACGGATATCTTCTTATTTCTTATTTATTTATTTCTTGAAATTGGAAAATCGGGGCATTGGTAACTCTGAATCGATATCCCTCATATTTTATCTATCACTAAGCTTGAGTATTAGCAGAAATCGGTTATTATAGTACAATGTTTTTGATAACATAAAATTTACTCTAAACAAAATATTTAGCCGTATCGTCATTGTCAAATGACACTAAAACTACAAATAAATATAAATAATATTTATTTTAGTTTTAGATGCGCTTTATTTTTTTAGTTAACCTTTTTGCCTGATTTTGACTTTCATTTCATTAGTTTCATTAATCCAATATTTCATCTAATTCATTGTGTAAGTACTGATATTGTTTTATAGTCGATTTTTTATATGCTCTCTAGAAAGGTGTTCGATAGCAGTGGTTAGCTCATTCAGTTTGCAATTTAGGGGATAAATCAGCTTTCGCAACGGTAGCCATTCGATGTTTGACCAAATTTTGTTATCTAAGCTCCTACATGCTTCAGTAGGCACTTTAGCCGATTTTAAAAATTTTATTAGGACTTTGATCCCGACTACAACTTTAATTGTTCCACCCACAAAATCATTGGGACCGAGTACCTATAGGGAACTTAAACTGTAGTTTCAATCTTCTACGTCTATCGTTCTTTCATCGATCTCATCTCTTCTCTCATTGATAGAGTGGGTGTGGTTATTCTGATCGCATTCAAGGTCATAAGTACACGTAGTTTTACGTACGAACTGTAATAGGTATTCATTCTTCGGTCGTCGTGATCTGTACCTCTTATTTGATAATATCTTTTTGATTCTTTCGCTGAGAGAGGACTTGGTCACGGTAGACTGAGTCGCTAATTTTACAAGGTTTCTTGATGTTTTTCCTGAAACGTAGTCTAACGTATATATACGTTAGACTACGTTGCAATTGCATATATTAAAAGTAGGAATTTTGCATTCTCGACACTATATTGATAAATATCTTTAATGAAAAATGCTTAAAAAGTTTGCCAGTCCCGGGTACCCTGAAATTGAACTCGAGCAACCTATATACAGATAATCCTATTCCATCTTCGGTACCTGGGGTTAGTGGATCTATTTTTCTTTAAAGATATTTCCTTTTTCTGTTTATTCGGACATTATAATAATTTTTCAACATGCACATCTAGCTACAGATCCGTTGCACTGGCACCCAATGCGGAACCAGTAGCAAACCCAGGCAAAACTTATTTGAAACTTAAAAATTATTTATAATTGTTATAACATTCATTTTATAATTTCTGTGCCTCTTTTATTGGTCAATTATTCGCTGTCATTGATTTCGTATTTCACGTGTTGGCCTAATCATCCAAATAACCAAATTAGTAATAATTTTTGTAGATAATTGTACAGAACTGTTCGTGTTTCGTAAATATTTATTTTGGTTTAAGTATATGCTGTTAAAGCGGCAACATAAATACATCATCTATGAAAATTTCAGCTGTCTAGCTATCACGATGCATGAGGAACATGCCGTTGATGGACACACGGGCTGTGCAGTCCTAAGATTCATTGCTAACAATAGGGTCCCGTTTTTACCTTTTGAGTACGGAATCTCAAAAAATCATGTAAATAAAAAAATAAGATAGACCTGATACGAATCTGATTGTGATAGTTTTCTTGATATAGACGTAGAATAAAAATATGTATTGGAAGGTCTATATTTTACTAACGTTATCAAAAGGTTAATTTTTCTTAATTAGAATACTGATTGACGAGGCAGATTATAACGTTGTTATCATGCTTGCTGATACTCTCTTTGATTGTTCCCGACTAGGCATTATCACAATGGTGTAAATAGCAATGGTCAAAGTAAAAACAACAGTCAGATTATACATTTAATTAAATGTAATGGCTTTTCGTTTTGTAAAAAAGTATTAATAATTTTTTGTTCTTTTTATTTCTTTAAATATCATCTTTTTAAGTATTTATAAGTTGATGACGAAAATATCTTTATTAGTAAATGGGGCTCAACTTTTTCAACTATCTTTTCTTTGAAAATTTGTAATGGTCTCGAATTGAAGATATTAAGTGATTATTTTTTAACTTACTTTCATACTTCCAGATTCGACGCTGTTAGGTACACGAAAGGATTTAAGTCTTGGAAAAATCTGGTTTTTATGGATGTATTTAACTCAACGTATGACACTCTGCAGGTTTTTTTTTACTTCCGATTTCTTGGAGTTAGCTTCATAATTGCCTATAAAATACTTAAATTCCAAAAACAAAGTTATTTTAACTTTGCCATGAACTCTTTTTTAAATGATACTTTGTCTAATTAAAAATTATCTAAATCGAATATCATAATTCACATAATCATATAAAAAGCCATTTATTTCTTACTTAAAGCCATTTAATGTTATAATTGTAAAAAAGATATGAAGCTTCAAAAACCCCACATGTTCTTGCTACCTTCAAAGGTCTCATCTACATCCCTGTCTTTCACTGTCTCCCGCCACTTGTAAGATACCTGTTTTTTCTAGCGTCCATATAAAACAAAAATCATGTACCTACCTAATTTGTAGGACTGTTTGTTCCTTGATTAAATAATATAAAACTTAATATTATTATTCTGTAAGTTCATCTACTGTCTGTTAGTATGCTATGTAGCCGGCCCAGCACCACGTTTTTTTTATCATTTTTCTGTTAGGGTTCTGTTCAAGGTAAAAAAAGGATCCTACTACTAAGACTCCGCAGTCCTTCCATCCATCCGCTCATCCGTTCAAAAAGATTCATCAAATAAATATTTAAGGTGGGTCCCTATCCTTACTATATTAGTTTGTGATATTTATTGGTTTTTATTAATTTGAATGGACTCCTTTCCATGTCGTTCTGGTTAGGTCTAATTTTGGAGTATACTCTATGTGTGAGGTTCTTACTTAGGCTAAGAATGATTGTATACTGTATACCTACTTGATATGGGATGGTAATTCATAACTTTGTTTTATTCGATCTATTGCATGAAGAGCAAACTTCTTTTAAACTTTTTTTTCCATTCATTCGGAACTCACTCTCTCTATTTCATTTGTCTTGACTTGATCAGATCAGATGTGTTCTGAAGATATACATAATGTTTAATATAGATTTAATCCAAAGTTGGCCCAACCAGATCGAGAAGAAAATATTAGTATGAAAAAATGTTGAGTTGCAATACTTATACAATTTGCATGACAAAACAAATAAGAAGTTTTGTATTCATTTTAAAAAAAAATCAGTAAAGAATGTACACGGAGAGCACCTGCGCGAAAAATAAAAAACGAACTAGACAACATACCAACGGATCTCCTAATATGTGCACAAGACATGCAAGTGATCAATGTTAAATATCCTAGCAACCATAAATTAGCAAGAACTTCATTGAAAGTCTTTAAAGCAAAATAGAAAACCTTTGGAAACAATGCAAAAAACAACTTTTAAAATTCTAGAAAGAAATACTGGCCTATAGAAAATCTATGCATGATAATTTAGAACAACTGATTACCAGACATCAAAGATACATAACAAATTATTATAACAATAAACAGTTGCCTCAAATCCACAAAAATAGAAAAATTATATGATACGAAGTGATTGTAACCATGGAAAAAACTTAATGATTTTCTGTGATTTGTTTAGTTTCTTATGCAATAAAGCGTTACAAATGTATAGAATTAAATCTTGATTCAAAATTAATACCTATAACTCGTACGGATTAACATGGCACCCGAGGGCCTATTCTATTTCTCCTCATTCGAAAATTCGGAAAGTTTCAAATCTTTCTTGTTATTTTGTTTAAATCATAGTCTTAATGATTATCTATGCAGAGGAAGAGGTAGGTCACGCCTCCATTGTACTCGTATCACAAATTATAGAAAAATGCGTTTCTTTCGAATTGTACGAGTATTAGTATTTCCAAAATAGATGAAATATCGTTTCGGTGTATCATGTGTCAGGCTAATATATTTTTATTATTATTTTTCATTTATTTTCAGTGAGTTGCAAGGAGACATCATCAGCCAAGGCGTCCACGGAGTTTTTAGACAGGTATGTTTTTGGAATAATAGTATTATGAAATTTATGGTATTATAAATCTACGAAGATAACTACAATACCTAAATAAGTATAATGCTCTTTTCTATTCATTCTAAATTAATAATCTATTTGTGACGATCATGAGCGTATCGGAAAAAGGCTGGTGCAGAATTCTGATGAGCCATTTATTTTATTTTACTTTCTATTATTTATCATTTTTAGCTACTATTCTACCCACTAATCTACCAGATACTTTTTTAACGTGATTGAGAAATTACACGAGTATTTATCTTATCCTTTGAAGAAAAATACCCTATATTTTATTGTATTTTCGCATTTCGTCTTACCTGTCGTACCATATTACTATGCCATTCTTCTCCTAATATATTCGTAACAATA